TCGCCTAACCCTGCGGTCTTATTGGGACGCCTCTCGACAACGTATTGGATGTGCACCATAGCTATCAGTGTTCGAAAAGACCCACGTGTATGTCGGCAACGAGCGATTCTTCAAAGAAGTCGCAAATTCTCGCGGTTTGGTTGGGTTCGGCAAATGACAGCTTGTGCGCCGCATCGTGTTGAAACTTCCAAGGAGCCGTTCCCTCTCGTTTGTGTTTGTGTGGTTGTCCTGCTTTGACCGTGTCGACAAATATCACGGATTACCTCTTTCAAGTCCGCTATTGTTATGGTAAGTGCACTGCAACCTACGTGTTGGCAACGATTGACCGTTCTTCTACGCGTACTCTTCTAAATTATCTAAAGAATTATGCAGCGCCTATTCGCGCGGCAGCCAGGAGAATAATTTCCCCGAAAGTCTACCTGTATAGTGTTCACAGATCGCTTGCACGTTTGTACTTGTCTACAGAAGAGGTAATAAACTTCGAGGAGAATTGAAAACAATCTTTTGTGTCGGTTTTCCTGTCCACTTACAAGCACCTACGCGAGTGCATTTGTTCTACGTGTTTTCTCCATGTTATAAATACGTTTATGAGTTTCGGGACGTCTTAAATATGTTTAAGATAACCAACCTCCCAGACGATACCCATTTAGGGCTGGCGCATAATTTGCCATTTCGAAGGGCACGTTCAAACGTGTGGTCACGTGCCATGTCGAACGGGTACTCGTACCATACGGCACCCGTATCAAACGGGCACCTGTATCAAACGGGTACCGTTTCGAACGGGTACCGTTTCCAAACGGGTACCCGTATCCCATAATCACGTTTGATCCAAACGGATCGACAGGTTTGATTCAAACGGGCGACCAGTTTGCCACCTGTTTGAATTTCAAATGGTTTTTTTCAGTAGGGTAGGGGCTAAGCGTGGGCATGACCGAGCTGGGCTGCCTATGTAAAACTCCCGTGGGTCCCCCCTGGGTTCTGCGGGGGCTGTCTTTGTAAAGCCCCTGTGGGTCCCCCCTCGGTTCTGCGGGGGCCAAATGTAATGATGCGGGCTCCACAGCGGCTAAGCGTGGGCGTGCCCAACCAGGCCTTCCTATGTAAACTCCCGTGGGTCACTCCTCGGTTCTGCGGTTGCCAGATGCAATGATGTGGGCTCCACAGCGGCTAAGCGTGGGCGTGCCCGAACTGGACTGCCTTTTTAAAAACCCCGTGGGTCCCCCTCGGTTCTGCAGGGGCCAAATGCAATGATCTGGGCTCCACAGGGGCTAAGCGTGGGAGTGCCCGAGTTGGGCTGCCTATGTAAAACCCTGTGGGTCACTCCTCTGTTCTGCGGGGGCCAAATGCAATGATGTGGGCTCCATAGGGGCTAAGCGTGGGCATGCCCGAGCTGGGCTGCCTATGTAAAACTCCCGTGGGTCCCTTCTGGGTTCTGCGGGGGCTGTCTTTTTAAAACCCCCGTGGGTCCCCCCTCGGTTCTGCAGGGGCCAAATGTAATGATGCGGGCTCCACAGCGGCTAAGCGTGGGCGTGCCCGAGCAGGGCTTCCTATGTAAACTCCCGTGGGTCACCCCTCGGTTCTGCGGTTGCCAGATGCAATGATGTGGGCTCCACAGTGGCTAAGCGTGGGCGTGCCCGAGTTGGGCTGCCTATGTAAAACCCTGTGGGTCACTCTGTTCTGCAGGGGCCAAATGTAATGATGTGGGCTCCACAGGGGCTAAGCGTGGGCATGCCCGAGTTGCTCTGCCTATGTAAAACCCCGTGGGTCACCCCTCGGTTCTGCGGGGGCCAAATGCAATGATGTCGGCTCCACAGCGGCTAAGCGTGGGTGTGCCCGAGCTGGGCTTTCTATGTAAACTCCCGTGGGTCACTCCTCGGTTCTGCGGGGGCCAAATGCAATGATGTGGGCTCCACAGGGGCAAAGCGTGCTTGGGCGTGCCCGAGCTGGGCTGCCTATGTAAAACTCCCGTGGGTCCCCCCTGGGTTCTGCGGGGGCTGTCTTTAAAAAAAACCCGTGGGTCCCCCTCGGTTCTGCGGGGGCCAAATGTTATGATGCGGGCTCCACAGCGGCTAAGCGTGGGCGTGCTCAAGCAGGGCTTCCTATGTAAACTCCCGTGGGTCACTCCTCGGTTCTGCGGTTGCCAGATGCAATGATGTGGACTCCACAGCGGCTAAGCGTGGGCGTACCCGAACTGGACTGCCTATTTCAGAACCCCGTGGGTCCCCCTCGGTTCTGCGGGGACCAAATGCAAGGATCTGGGCTCCACAGGGGCTAAACGTGGGCGTGCCCGAGTTGGGCTGCCTATGTAAAACCCTGTGGGTCACTCCTTGGTTCTGCGGGGGCAAAATGCAATGATGTGGGCTCCACAGGGGCTAAGCGTGGTCATGCCCGATTTGGGCTGCGAATGTAAAACCCCGTGGGTCACCCCTCAGTTCTGCGGGGGCCAAATGCAATGATGTCGGCTCCACAGCGGCTAAGCGTGGTCGTGCCCTAGCTGGGCTGCCTGCGTAAAACCCCTGTGGGTCCCCCCTTGGTTCTGCGGGGGCCAAATGCAATGATGTGGGCTCCACAGCGGCTAAGCGTGGGCGTGCCGAGCTAGCTGCCTATGTAAAACCACCGTGGGTCCTTCCTCGGTTCTGCGGGGGCCAAATGCAATGATGTGAGTTCCACAGCGGCTAAGCGTGGGCGCGCCCGAACTTGGCTGCCTATGTAAAACCCCCGTGGGTCTCCACTCGATTCTGCGGGGGCCAAATGCAATGATGTTGGCTCCACAGCGACTAAGCGTGGGCGTGCCTGAGCTGGGCTGCCTATCTAAAACCCCCGTGGATTTCACCTAGGTTTTGCAAGGGCTTTTACAAGGATGGAGGCTTCAAAAGGGGCAAAGGGTGGTCACGCCCCAACTTGGATTACCTGTGTAACTTCAAAATGAACTTTTCGCTGGTATTGAAAACATTTACTGCTCGTTCTGCACATTGAATGTAGAAGATCGGTTTAATTTGATATTAAATCACCGAGGACTGTAGCTAAGCATCAGACAAAAATGTTTCGGCTTGGAAAATTTTAATACTAAATTACTACTCAGCATGTAGGTTGTGAAGAGCGTTTTACATGGTGAAGGAAATTTTTACACGAAGCCTTTTAATCGTAGTGTCGTGGCTGGTTCATGCTAGCTATGTATCCCTATTACCTTTCCAAAAGGATTTGATATGGAAACACCAACAGTTTTAATGTTAATCCGTTAGCTTTAAAACGCTCGATTGACGAAAAACCCGGCGGTCTCTGCCAGTTGGCCAACGCCGGAAAGAGAGGAGGGAGGAGAGGGAGAGGGTCACGTGTGCGACGCTTCTATTGGTGCGAAGTGCTGACAACAGCACGCGTCACCCTCTCCGTGCCTTCCAGGCGCTGACAGACTCACAGACACCGCCGGGTTTTTGTCAAAACGAGCGTTTTCATTTTCGTCAAAGGAGCGTCGCACAGAGCAGAGCCAGAGAGGAGGAGGCGCCGCGGCACTGCGGAATGCGGGCGTGCTCAGTTGCCGCTCTACCGTCGCCGAATGTTCTTCGCTCTATGTTTCCGTAGTAGCAGGGTGTGGGCTGTGTGGTTTGTGTGTAGTTAAAACGATTAATGCGGTACTCTCCATGACTGATATGGATATGGTAACTTCCACGAGTGGTATGAATGTGGTTCTCTCCATGGGTGACATGGATGACCGTATCCAAGGGCGTCGACTTACTTTGGCAGTTAGATCACAAAAAAATGATACATTAGTGCATTCTGGGGGAATGCGTCAGCATGACCTTGGGAAACGCCACACACGTCTTCCTTTGGGAAACGCTAACGCGGACGCCTTAGCGAAGCCAAAAAAAAATAGCAAAAATATAGGAAGCAAAAGGGAAAACCAGGCCAGAACGTGAAGTGGTCAGTTTTTGCGTTTCCCAAAGGGGGACGTATGTTGCATTTCCCAAGTGCTATGCTAACGTATTCCCTAAGATTCCTTTAATTTTTCCTTTAATTCCTTTAATTTTTGTTCTGCTCTGTACTCTTAAAATGCTAAATTTTCTATGGTCTTGCTGAAGGCGTTTTATTGATCTATCAAAATGGTAATAATATTTTCAGCATTCACATGAAAAAGTAAAGCATGTTGAATGAAAAAGATTACCTCGATTAAAATTAGGTTTTCGGGGGGAACACATGTGTGTTGCCCCCGTAGGGCCACGGTGAGTCCCAAAAGGGGGGCCTATGTAAGCTGCCCACCTACCCAAGTAGGGCTGCCCAAGTAGAACCACTGAGGGTCCAACCAGGGGACCCCATGCGGACTGCTGCCCAACTAGACCCCCTGTTGGTCCTTCGAAGCAGCTTAGGTGGGCCACCCAAGTGGGCCTTACTTGGGCCCGAGTTCCCAAACCGACCTCGCACCCATGTGGGCTGCCCACGTGGGACTCCCATCGGCCCCCTTTTGGAGGCCACTTTGTGCTACTTGGGAATGCTGTATATCGCGTCAAAGCCCATCTGATGCGACCCCTTTTCCCCATCCTTCTTGCTTCCTCTTCCATTCTGTGCCACCTCCCTCTCGTGATAAGACGCTATAAAGTAACGTGCTACGGGAGTGCGGCAGCTCTTCGTTTGGTTTCAGTCATGGAGTGAAGACATTAAAGACATTCCACCGCACTTCACCGACTGCTGTGGTAAATGCCGTTCCCTGCACCGGCAAATACTACAGGTGGAGTACCGAATATTGTTATCGGAGGTATAGGACCGATCTACTAAATCCCTCTTTTTCAGAAACGCCATGCGTGCGCACCAACGCTACGAATATAATTATTTTGGCAGATAATCATTTAACAACGAGCCTTTATTGGGGACATTCTTGAGAATCAGATAGGATATTACTTTAATCTTCTTCCAAATAACCAGACAACATATTACTTCAATCTTCTTCCAAATAACCAGATAACATATTACTTTAATCTTCTTCCAAATATCATGACGGCGACAAAATTATGTTACCATAGCGTGCATCTCTTAGTTGGGTTCATCTTCGTCGACGCCTTACATTTGAATGCTGCCGCGAACTCTTGGTGATTTTGCAGTGGGACGTTCACCCTGAAATTAGAATAGGTTTTAAAATATCAAATGATATTTTTGAAGTCGTTCGCGTTTTCTCGCGTTTTGTTGGGCTGAAATTTTGTCCCGAAACAAAATCAGCTGCAAACACTTTAAGCCGTTTTCTGCTATTGAAGAGGCAATACGCGAGACTACTGGTGCAAAAACGTAGATGAGGATCCTATCCTCCGCAGTTTCGCACAGCCAACCTTCAGCCTGTCTCACGACTGGTAAGTTTAGCGCACACCCGCGCTTCACTCGTGCTTCAAGTCCCCCTAAAAGTGACTGATCTAGAAGTTATAGACGATGTCCAACAGGCTTTCAAGTGAAACCATCTGTTAAATTTCTCTCATTAGAAAGTTAATAAATTAATTTTTAGTTCATTATTCAACTTATCATGACAATTAGTCCCTATATTGTTTCCTTCTGGCTGTATAACTTGTCTGCGTAGCCCGCATTAATGAACCGTTAGTGCTGTTTATCTTTACGTATGCAGTATCTTTCTGGCTTAAAAATAATTATGCGGTGTAACGTTTTCTCTTGTGCTACGGATAATATAAGCAAATTCCGTTGAGACCTATACAGGAAACTAAACCAAAAATGCATAGGATTTGCGGGAGACGCAGAAGTGATACCATCTCTTGGTGGGAGTGGTCGACTCGGTGCCGAAAATTAAATCAATATCAGTCGTGTGCTCCACTGTTTGTCCCCTTTACACTATTTAAAAAAAAATAGCTACCGATTAAAATTGAGAAACACTGGGTTATGGCACTTTTTGATTAATCGATGTGTTCCAGAAAGTTCATATGCAAGTCAGTAAACTTTGTTTTTATATTGACCCTGTGTAGCTAAATGCCTATTGCAGGCTATTAGTCCTTATTTCGAGTTATTCGACTATTTATATGTTAGGGCAACTTCAGGTCGTTATTATTAGCGAAAACTGAACTGTGTAGGGATATTCATGTTCTTAAACAGAAGATTTGCTACAAGTGGCTTATATTGGTTTTTGGGAACTATTCTTGACCAGATCAGTTTCATTTGGTTATGAATAACTCTTAGCGACTATTATTCTCGCTTCTGAGGCATTGGGGTTTCAGGGGTGGGATTAACTTCAAGTGGATAGTACTGGCTATTGGACTATGTTCTTGGTCAGATTGGTTTGAAATGGCTATACATGAATCTTAGTCACTATTATTGACATTTTATGCAGTTGGCTTGTTCATAGATTTGATTGACTTAATTTGGCTATTATTGGCTATAGGCATCTGCTATTGACCTGGTTGGCTTGAATTGCCAAAAAATTACTATTAGTGCTTATTGGTTGCAATATTCTGCGGTTTTTATACTTATGAATGAAAATGGCTTAAAGTGGCTATTGTTGAGAATAGCATCTCGTCTTAACAACATCCCCTTAAATCGCTTAAGATTGAAGATTAGTGACAATTAGTGACATGGTATTTATAACGTTTTGAATATAAAGGAATTCAAGTGGCTATAACTGGCTATGAACAGTTCTTGGCCAAATCGGCTTGAAATGGCTATACCTGTCTATCAGTGACTATTATTGGCAATTTATGCAGTCGGAGGGTGTGGATCTGATTGACTTCAACTGACTATTACAGGCTATAGGCATCTTTTCTTGACTTGGTTGGATTGATTTTTTAATATTGACTATAGGCATCTATTACTGACCTGGTTGGCTTTATTAGGCTACAAATGGCTATAAGTGATTAGCATTGATAATTATTAGTTATTTCTGTGTCTACAAAAATGAATGGCTTATGCTGCTCTTTTTGGTGATTGGCATCTATTTTTGGCCAGACTTCAAATGGCTATGAATGGCTATTCGTGAATATAGATGACAATTCTATGCTGTTTCGGAGTTTATGGATGAAAATGACACAGAAATGGCTATTATTGTCTATAAGCATATCTTCTTATTAGATTGGCTTGAAATAGCTATACATGGCTATCAGCAATTATTATATAACATTTTTGCAATTAGAGCGTGTATAGATTTGAATGACTTCAAATGGATACTTTTGGCTATAAACATTTATTCTTGACTTGGCTGGCTTTAATTGGCTATTATAGACCATAATCATGTATTCTTTACCTGGTTGGCTTAAAATGGCTACAAATAGCGATAAGTGACTAGTATTGGTAATTATCAGCTATTTTGGTGTCACAATAGTGCATGGCTTCATGTGGCTTTTTTAGGCTATTGGCATCTATTTTTCACCAGATTGGCTTTAAATGCCTATGAATGGCTATTCGTGAATATAGTTGACAGTTCTGTGCAATTTCGGTGTTTATGAATGAAAATGACTTCAAATGGCTAATACTGGATATAAGCACCTCTTTTTATTAGATTAGCCTGAAATGGCTATACATGGATATCAGTAACTATTATTTAAAATTTATTTTAAAATTTATCAACAGTCCATGGATACTGGTGCTATTCCTGACGACTGGAGGGAAGGTAAGGTCGTTCCGGTCCACAAAGGCGGCGATGCGCACTCCCCTCTAAATTATCGACCCATATCATTAACTTCTGTTTGTTGTAAACTCATGGAACATGTCATTCATTCCCAAGTTATACATTTTCTAGAACAAAACAATTTCTTTTTTCCTAATCAACATGGCTTTAGAAAACATCGTTCTTGTGAAACACAGCTTGCCGCTTTCAGCCATGACATTCATATTTCCCTAGAAACCTCTCCTCAGGTTGATGCTATCTTTCTCGATTTTTCCAAAGCTTTTGATCGTGTTTCCCATAAACTCCTACTAACAAAACTGTCCGCACTTTCCCTTGATTCTTCCGTTCTAGCATGGATTGAAAATTTTCTCTCTTACCGAACCCAGCATGTGCACATCAACAACTGCCGTTCCCGAAGCGCTCCTGTAACCTCTGGCATACCGCAAGGATCTGTTCTTGGACCCCTGCTTTTTCTTGTATATATTAATGATCTCCCCCTTTCGCTGTCCTCTACGGTCCGCCTGTTTGCCGATGACTGCGTAATCTACAGGCCCATAGCTAACACAAATGATTCACTTAATCTGCAGACTGATCTTGACCGAATTAATGAATGGTGTTCAAAGTGGCAAATGCTCTTAAATGCTTCCAAATCTAAATCCCTCTCTTTTTTTCGAACCCGTCAACACCTTCAAGCTTTTTACTCTATTGGTAACCTCAATGTTGATGCCGTCTCAACTTACAAATATCTTGGCGTTCACTTCACTCACGACCTCTCCTGGAAGACTCATATTAACAACATCATTTCCGATTCAAACCGCACTCTTGGTTTTTTACGCCGCAATCTTCGTCTCGCGTCCTCATCTGTCAAACGCCTCGCATACGTCACATTAGTACGCCCAAAGTTAGAATATGCATCATCAGTCTGGGACCCTCATCTTAAATTCCTTACATCGGACATAGAATCACTTCAGAACCGTGCAGCTCGCTTTATAACGTCTCAGTACTCCAGGTTTGTCAGCGTAACTGAACTTAAACAAAACTTATCTTTGACTCCTTTATGTTCACGCAGGCGTATTGCTAAACTATGTCTTTTTCACAGGTTTTACTACGATGACCAGCTACATAGCTCATTCATCTTGCCACCTCATCGCATATCTCCTCGTGTTGATCACCCTGCAAAAGTTGGCCTTCTCTTTACCCGAAACACAGCATTCTTTAAATCTTTTTTCCCGGCGACATCTGTGGACTGGAACGGCCTGCCTGAAATCGTCGTCTCCACCCAAGACATCGGCTCATTCCGCGAATTGTTATCATCACATCTCCTATAACCCCACTCCCTTATGTAATACCCTAACTCCAGGGTTCTTAAGGTATTTAAATAAATAAATAAATAAATAAATAAATATGCAATTTACGTGTATGTTACGCGACGGCACGTAACATACTGGTATGTTACGTGCGCGACGGGTGTCGTGTATCTGATCCCTTTGTCGTGTGGCAGGGTGTACATAGGTCAGACGGGGAGGTGTGTCAATGTTAGGGCAGGGAGGATTCCCTTTCCCTTCGGTCTTCACCGTCGGGACACCTTGCAGTTCACTGCGATAAGTGTTCGTCTTCTCCGGTTTTCACGGAGATTAAGATTCTGGCTTGTCACCGCAACAAAGTGACTAGAGAAATTGATGAGGCGTTTTTTATTTCTACCTACGAAGCGGACACGTGTGTTAGTACCCCGTCCGTGGCTTTGACGGATGACGAAGTGACTTTCATTAAGAAATTCGGTAGATTTGTTTAAGTGCTCGGGTGTGCCTCAAGGGGGTGGATTATGTTTGATCTATCTTGCATCTTTTATGTTTTCCTTTCCGTTCCTCGCAGGAATAAACTTCAGCTGCCAGTCAGAGTTCTGTTCGTTCACCTCTCGTTCTTGTCCCTTGTCTTTTTTGTGCTGTTTCCAAGTTTGCATTATGAACCAACTAGCCCAACTTCACGCCTTGTTGAAGATTAATATTATTTAGATTGTACAAAGTCTCTATAAAAATCCTGACTGGTCTATACAACACACTGCATTTTGACATCAAAATACCAAGAGGTCCAATATCACGAGCTCATGCTCCCTATGCTCCATAAAAAAAATGAAATATTTCATGGACTATCAAAATCTTTATTGATTCAGACTGACTTGATTCATTTCCGGGGAAAATGGCGAGTTGTTCACTCCTTACCGCCACGATCGCTTTCTACTGCGTCTCCCATTTCACCCCGGCGTTTCCTGTATTAGTCTCAAAGGTATTTGGATATAAGTATGATTGGATGCACGCCATGTTTTTTTTTCTGATTTGTTTTAATGGTGGTGTTACGTTTTTCTCGCCCACCAGAGATCTTTATCTATCTTCAGTCCCTTACTTTGTGCCATTCCTTAAACAAGTCGAGGCTATCGGCTAAACTGTCGGATGAAATATTCTCTTATTGTTTTTTAAGCGGCCTTTTATTTATGCTCATTAGTTTTTCGGCCATTATTTATTCCTTAGAACATATGAAATACGCAGATAAATAAACCATACTGCTAGAAAAGAGTACGTCTTACAAAAGCGGCGAAAGGCAAACTTTTGGAGGAGCCGGGAAGGGACCTCCGGGTTTCTTTCTTACCTTTAAGGTAAAAAAGAAATTTCTCCTCTACGCCGTCTTGTCTTTCACTGGTTTCCATGTCTGATAAATGCACTTAAATGAAATGTATTCAGTCAGAGGTGTTCTGCGAGCCCAGTCCACCGCGCGGAATGCGATACGAGTCTATCCTCGTGGGCTAAACAACGTTTCTTTTCTTTATTTTTAGAGTACCCTTATAGGCTGTTTCTCAGTACCAGTCAATTTGTAACTATATCGTTTATTTATTATCGCTTAGTATTTAAAATGTTTAAATTAGTGATTTACTTTGGTCGAAAGGTTACCATTTTGATACAATTGCTTCAAAATGCTTTCCAATTTCATTGAAATTCGCTTTCTTATGTAGTTTCAATAGAAATTAAAAATACAATATTTACCTGTGCATTGGTAGGCTGTGCGGATTTTGTTGAGCAAAATAGATTCGTGCTTCCTTTGTCATTTTGTTGCACAATGTCTGGAAATTACCGAATAATGTGTATTAACATGTGCCAATGCAATTTCACAAAGACACAAATAGATTTGTTTTACGACAATATTTGTTATACGAACATACAAATTCACTGCAACGTAATAAATAGAGGAAGCTTAAGCTTCGTCTTTAAAAGTGGAATGCCATAGTTTTATCGGGCAAGGTTCGTATTGCCATCTCATTCGCCGTGCAAGCGTGCTATGCGTGGCTTAGTCAGTAGCGTGTCTGGCTCGCAAACGATGGGTAGTGGGTTCTAATTCTGCCTAAATTCTTCGATTTTTTTAAAGTCAAATTAATTGCTTTTTAAAGAGGAATCACTTCAGACATGCTGTGACGTTTAATTCGCATTACACGTCACGTTTTAATTCCTTTCCTTTCACGCGTAACATCACGTTTCACGTGAGCGTTGTGGGTTCTTCGGAATTAGCACGCGAGGTAGTGCGGGTGTGACGTCATGATTCTATCGACAAATCAGGATTTTTGTGTCACGGCACCGACGTCGGCTTTTCTGCGACGCTAGCGCCTTAACGCCATCGGGTTAAACAAATAAGACGAAAGAGCTTTTCGTCCTCTTCCACGTATATGTTGTATATTTTTAATCGAGTTTTGAATTTTATCAACTGTCACGAACACGAAACTTGTGTTTTTAGCAAATTGAGTGGTTTTCTCTAACTACAAAAATTCAGCAAAAACTGGTGTCACGAAACATATAGACTATGCAGCGATTTTGATTGCGTGCTGCTTTCCCAGCAATTTCACTTGAATTGGAATTATGCAAAACTTTTTTTTATAGTTTATGGAAAATCATACAACCATAAAAGATTAACATAATTCAGTCATTTACGTTTGGTGTGAATTTATGAAGGTCTTCAAAAGTCTTTAAGGCGCGTGAAAGCCATTCCATAGGAAGTGTATAAGCACAACACTAGGAGATTTAACGCAACATGTATTACAAAATGGAGTACGCGAAGCTTTCACCGTTTAAATACTGTACTGTATAATTGTCACCTTGTTTCGAATATTCGCTATTTCCTATAATATCGAAAATTGAACCATTGATGGAGCAATTCGTTCACCTGAATTCGAGATATTTACATTGGAAGTTTGATAGCTTGTTTTTGTATGTTATTGTTTGCTATAATGCAAAGAAGTGCATGCAGTGTACGCTGCAAATTTAGAAGTTTCGCCTTTCTTGTACAGACTGTTAAATTATTGATGGCGTTCTACCATAGAGTGTGTTCTTAATGCTTCATTTGTTTGTATAGAATGCATGTACGTATTTATTCTTTCCCCTGCTGCAATTACCTTATGCAAGGTCGCAGTAATTTAAAATAAGTTAATAAATAAATAAATACGAATCAATCGCGTCAAGGTACAATTTCGCGAATAGAAGTTTTGCTTAGTTTCATGGCGATACGGTTGATCCGGTCATTCTCTCAATCTATTACGTTTCAGAAAAAAAGGAACATACATTTTAAGGCGGTAATGAAAACCTTGCCGTATCGATTTAAACGGGGTTACCAATGACGACAGGGTTAAAAGTTTTTTTTTGTTCACATAACAAAACGAAGGGAAAAAAAGTAATAAGAAAGGTACCGAAAAATGTATAGCGACATGAAAGTGTTTGTTTTTTATGTCCCTCTTTCGTTATCGGAAATTAGCTACCAACACACTCAACGATTTACGTCAGAAACAAGTTCCCGCGGCATTATGAAGGACGTTACAAGGTAACACTTTTAATGCTGATATATACATGAGTTCAAAATGTAATGGGATCGGAACGATTTGGAATGTATTGGTGCAATATTTCAGCAAGGGCTGTGCGTTAGTTGGAGCTTCTAAACAGATCGACACCGTCAAGGCATTTTGATTCGCGTTCATACAACACCTTCTAGTCAAGGAAAGTATCTCGCTCCAAGTGACTGAAGCCTACTGACGTGTGTACAATGCGCGAAATTATTAGCACTAACACGACTTCGGCGCTTTTTCGCATTTCATTTTAAAAGTGTACTGGCGGGCATTAAAATGTATCACTATAATGCCGCTTACCGCTACTCATGCTACAGGGAAGTTTGTAATGCTACGATATGAGTCAAGTAGTACTGTCTAAACCTTAATTATTGTAAGTACTCCTTAATTATTTTAAGTACTGATTTCGGATATAAACAATACACAATATGCAAAGTGCACAACGCCATCTAGTGGGGTGCCGAAGAACATGCTCCGTCTCAACAGTTGGCTTCGGCGCTGGCAAAGGTTAGGGAGAGAAGGCGTAGTTCTGGAGAATCTTTCGCTCGCACAAGCACTCGCGCAGAGAAAAAAAATTTCGAAAACCAGGCACCCGCGCCCGTGCTTCTGCCGGCGCTCAAAGCCAAATTGGCAGCTGAAATATATGCCCGCCGGCAACATGAAGGTGAACGCCGGGCCGTCGACCGCTCCATGCTATCAGCGCGATGACGTGGCTGCCGTGACGCCACGCTTTCTTATCGCGATATGAAGGTGAGCGACCGCCCACCGCTTCGTGCTATTAGCGCCATGATGTGGCTGCCACGGCAGCCGCGTCATGGCGCTGATAGTACGGAGCGGTCGACGGCCCGGCGTTCACCTTCATATCACGCACGACTGTACCTCTTCCATGTTGGTTGCGGGGAGAAACTAGCGATCGGCGGGGTGACGAGCATGTACATGTGCAAGGAGGGCGTAAAACAATACGAACCGTCAGCTCGCAGATGAGGGTGAAAATCGATGACGGTAAGGGGTAGGCCTCGATAGTTATCAACAACGCTACGAAATCGACAAACAGCAGAGGAATCGGAAAGTAACAAAGATGGCAGCGCACAGAGTGTTACCAGACGTCCAAACAATTTAGCATAGGGTCTATTGAAAAGTGGAACAATTTGGACGGCGACCTTTCTGCTAGGTAATCATCTACTGTTCAAGCTGCTTTCCCACCATCAGTGACCATGCACCAACTAGCCCAAACTGAAACCGGTACTGTTTGCTGGGATCGATAGTTTAGAGAAGCTTGCAATCAGTGTTGCGAAATCAAAAATTTAAAACCCGCAGTCGGAATCCCGAAAACCGCTAAAAACCGCTAAATCCAGTACACAACACAAAACTGACGTTTTCACTTTTTTTTTGCTCTAATTCTTGCCCAACGGTGTAATAACAGTATAGATAATATCAATGTTACCTGAAAGAAAGCTTTCCTTTTGTTTTGACTAGATATCTGTCACGCCACGTCCCTTTGTTATCAAAAAGATGTCGTCTGCTTCATCGTCATCTTGGTATTGTTGATCGCAAGTGCCACTGGTTCCTGGTGTGTCACCTCCGTCTTTAACAAAATAAGCCTCCATTATGCCGATTTTTTTTACATCAGATAGGAGTTCATAATTAGAACAACATTTGTTCTCTCTTCGGAGGCCAGCCCTCACCGTCAAAATGGCAGTGGTCATCTCCCTAGACATCCTGTTTCTCAGCTTAGATTTGACGATGTTCATCTGGCTGAACACCCGCGCAACCTCCGCGTTTGACCAAGGCAGTACAAGTGTCGCCAAAGCAAAATCAGCAAGGTCAAAAAAAGGGTTTGTGTTGGAGGCATCCCTGTACTTTTCGACCTCGTCCCAGAAGGCGACAGTTGTGTCAAGTTTGTTCCAGGGAACAAGAGTGAGTTTGTTCCACTGAAGCTCGATCGCTGCAATTTTTTCTTGTGGCAACTTCATGAATTCCATGAGGGGCACCAGCGACTCCTTCACAGCGCGCAGGGCGTTCCCAACTGACAGCAGGGAAACCTGCCTCAGTGTCCGAACGTTGTGTGGTAGCCTCTGCTGGAGCTGCCTCACGAGGTGGCACAGGAAAGCGATGCACCGTTCTCTGAATACTCGTTCCGACTCTTCAGGGAAGCCCGTTTTTCTCAGGTCTTGGAGCGTCCTTTTAGCTTCATAGCCGAGGTTGGCTCTCGGATCAACGTAGGCGTCGACGCTTGCACTCAGTAGGTCTGCTCGACACGTGGGCAGAACAAGCTTCTTCGTCAGGCCTTCAGTTAGCAGTGTTAGATCGCTTAGCAGCTCCAGGCAATCAGCCGAGTTAGACTCAAACGCCTTGTTAACCCTTTGCACTTCCGAAAGATTAGGTTTTATAAAAACGAGGTAGGCCAAGTTTATCGGGTCGCGCATCATGGAATGCAGGAGTTTTGCAGTGTAGCATTTTTCAGACATTCTTGCTTCACCGAAATGTGATTTCAGCGCCTCCCACTGGTCGAGGACTCTTCGGACTGCTGTTTCGATGGACAGCCACCTGTTGAGCAGGACTGTACTATCTTGAGCGGATCATGTCCATCGTACAGGGTTCGGTAGAGATCGCGGTAGGACTGTTGCCTTGATGGTGACCGGCTGAACCAGTTGTAGATCTCACTCACAAAAAATTCGAGATTTCTCGGAAGAGCTTCGGCGACGGCATTTGAAACGACCAAATGCGGCGAATGACAGACGCACCTCACCAAAAGGAGGTGGGGAACATCCGCCTTAAGCTTCTGATACACGCCGTTGTTGACTCCGACCATCACACTTGCATTGTCCGTTCCTATTCCCAGCATTTTCTGCAGATCGATGCGAAACTGGGCTAAGCACATTTTCACTGCGTCTACAATGGACTGAGCTTTTGAGTCAGTGAGTTCCACTAAGCTCAAAAAGGTAGAGACCACATTGGCAGCCTTCTCGCTGTAGTAGACGATAACGACGCCCAACAGCTTGGTCACCGATATGTCCGTTGATTCGTCTAGGATCAGGCTGTAGCTTCCAGATCCTAGGTCGGAAAGCAACTTGTCAACAAAGTGAGGAGAGAGGACGTTCTTTATCAATGCATTGCACTTCGACCGATGAAGCTGGAGGTGCTTAGCCCCTTCGCTGTCCCGAAACTGATTACGGCACAGTCCACCCAGGTGATCCGAAGCCAACATCGTGTAGTGAGCGCATATGAGCATGGCAAGGGACCCTTCAGCAGTGCGTGACCGGTCAGACTTCCGTTCAACTCGTAGAGTCGTCTGCCTGCCAGAGGAGAAAGGTGCAGCGGCCGAAACATGCTTCTTCGTTGCAGCGTGCACCACCAAATCCACGTGCTTCGCAGATAGTTCCGTTTTGCAATAGCGGCACCTGGCTCGTCTACTATCACCGGGAACCTCCAGTAGCCAGTCTTTAAGTTTGGGGTCTTGTAGCCAGTCTTTTCTAAATTTTTGAGCGTACTTCACCGGGCCCATTTCACGAAGCAGTTACAAAAATGTCAAAGGAACATGGGAGCATTCATGCTGTTCAAACGTGCGCGCACAAAACAGGGAAGCGTGTTCCGATATTCGACGCCTTAATGTTTTGATGACGTCAAAGGGGTAACTCTCACAAACCAGAAAATTACTGAGAGTAGGGAAAGACGATTGTGGCTGATTAGGGATATGGCAGGTGCATAATTGACAGTAAATCGATATAAAATTTCTATACCTCTAAAAAACCGCCAAGATTACATAAAACCGGCCAAAAATCCCGCCGCCCGCGAAACAGTAATTTATCCCGCTAAACAGAACCAAAAACCGCTAACTTTAGCGGGAAAACCGCTAAATTGGCAACACTGCTTGCAATTGTTACGGGATTTGTTTTCAAAGACACGTTAGCTTTTTAAAACGATGTTTGAGGGCTGATTCTGTGTTCGCTTATTTTTAACCGGGAGCTCGACCGGACGATGATTGTATTTGTTGTTGTTGGTTCCAGTATGGTTGCCGTTTTTTTCGTTCTTTTGTTTTGTTAAAAATACACTTTCAAGACAAAATAAATGAGCTAAAGCTACAATGAATAAAACAGATAAATGTTTGACTTACACAAATAAATAAAAAGACGTTTGACTAACAATAAAGACTATTAATATTCAGTGTTGTTGACCAACGCATTTTTAAAAAAAATAGATTGAGTTCAATAAATTTAGTGATCCAGCGTCTTACTCACATTTGCATATGCGAGAAATAACAGCTCCTGTGGAGAACGAGTCTCAAGTCCTGGGAGTTTCACGTCCGCATTGGGTGTTGTTCTTAATATATTCGTGAGAGCCTAATAATCAGTAGGGAATTCACGTAAGCTTCAGTCTGAGTCATTTATTTGTGATAAAAGCAAGCCCTTCAGTTGCAAGTTTATAAAGCCGGAACATCTCAATCAGAGACGTAAAAACACAAATGGGGCATGCAGAGCAAGCACAGACCTCGCGCAAAATGGGTAAAATACCGTTTAGGTGTATGAGGCTATAATTTACTTTACAATATTAACAAGAGAGGTCTGTCATGTTGCTTTGGTATCCACTTTTGCGATGAATATATTACTAGTTCCTTAAAACTGTATTTAATGTTTGGTTGAGCAGGCTATTCATAGTGTTTCTCGAAAAACTGGGCGAGGTACCACATTCTTGAAATGCGTGTGCCGTGGGCTTTGCCGGGCTGTATACATGGGTTGCACTGACGCCACATCGCATACTTTTGACCACCATGTAAAAGGAGGAGAGGAAAGCTGCTTTTCTTACGAATTTTGAGCGACAGGTTAATCTTCTATAATCCTCGGGGAGGAGAACAACGACGTTTGTGCAAATTCGGGAGGCACAAAAGAGGATCCTGATAAGAGGGAAGCTCCTCCTTCCCCTCTTCTCTCGTGCTCATCGTAGTGACCTCTGAATGCCGTCACGTGCAACCGGCATAGAAAAGGGTAAAATTGTCCACATGCGGCTGCAGCTTCTAGTGAATATATCGTTTTATAAAACTGCAGAAAGGGTGGCTTTAATTGTTTTAGCGATACAGAAGTTTAATTTTGAGAAGAATGATTTCACATTTTATGGTTAATGGCAGTATACAAAATCCGAAATTTAGACTAGCCACATTAATCCCTAAAATTATATGACTGTACTATTTGTACCACACCAATACTGACTTTCTTGAGGGTGATATAAGCTCAAGATGCATCAATGCAGAGTGCTTGCGGTCTGTGGTAATAAATTAAATTAATGCGCTTTTTACGTGTCGATCTTGAATTGCAGTATAATTATTCTCATGACAGGCAGGGTATTAGAACGCATGGATGTACAGAAATCAATCAACTGTTTTGTAGCATAGTCCTAGAAGGCTTTATATTTAGTACCTCTTAAAAGAAAAAAAAATCATTGTTCAACAGTACTTAACATGGCGGACCACTTACGTTATCTAGTATTCTTTTTGGTTATGATTAGAGTGCCGTGTTTTCGGTAATCGCCAACAAGCCCCAAAAACTAACTCTCAAGCCGGTTTTGATCAAAATTGGTGAAAACCAAAAAATCCTGGACTACCGCCTTTCGTCACTGAGAAAAACGTTAGCTTCGGGGGAAAAAACCTTTAACTATAATTTTCTTTGTGGTTACCTTTCCCACAGCCACACTCAACTGTCCGCGAGGCTCATTCTTTCTTCGGAAACCAGTACTCCTATCTAGTTTTTGTTTAAACTTGTAACGGGACGTTTTTTTAAGCATTCCGAACTCTAGAGGTTAGGGAATTTGGCGCCCGTGTCCAGCTTCTTCAACGGAAGGATCGATAAACATCGATTTCCTGTTCGACACCAAAAATTGACACTGAAAATAACCGAATTTGTTGAAAAAAGTCAACACCGAAAGCACTTATCCCTAGCTACGATACAAATGGTCGCACATCAATTCAGTGCTTAGAGGTGCTGATCAAATGGATTGCCTTACTTTTGTTTCTGTATCGTAAAATATCTCAGTACTTTCTGCTGCTGTTTGAAGCCAGTCTTTCCAATTAGAGTGATATACTGAATGGTTTGATTTTTATATGTTAACATTTCACTACCCTAACCAACGATCAGTTGTTACTTTCCTTGCCCAGCACATGGCAACAATATTCCAATGCTCAAGCTTTCAGCTTTGCACACAATCTGGATGAACTTCAAGTTATTGAACCGTGCAACAAGGCCCGGCACTTCCCCTGCGTCCTAACACAGATAAAAGTAGAAAATTACACAATAAACTAAACACGGCGTAGCACCCTTTATATTCAGAATGCATCACTATTAAATAAATTACTAATTAGAGCACAGGTTGTTTAGTAACAATATAGAAATTCATAATAGCTTCTCGAAATGTGTAAGCGTCGTGTCATATTAATCTTAACAAGAACACTCCACTTCATACACGATTATGCCTAAAACATTGGGATTTGTCGTGTAGTCCAAAGGAAGTAAAATGTTTTATATTTTTTTATGACGCAACACAGTTTTGTCACTGAGAATCATCTAGCTCAGTGCTTGATATCAAAATCTGCTGCGCAGAAAATAGTTTGTATTAAACTTGACCCTAACACACTACAGCAGTGCAGGCGCAATACAGAAATGAAGTGATATAAATACCAATAAAATAGCACTCATTCCGCCGTTGTCAGCAATATTCTCCACCTCATTTCTTGTTCCACTGAGCTGCACAAGCAAATAACAAATAAACTTACTTTGACCATGTATCAACATAATTTGTACATATGTCAAATGTAGGTACATAAAATACCTACGTGAAAGTGATAAGCTATTAAAGTACAAGAAATATTTTTGGTAAAAATGGACTCATAAAAACATTAAAAAAAAATCTTACGTCTAAATTTAAGTTTGCAACTGCACAACATGCACGTACAAGACTGTTAATTTGCTCGGGCCCTACTGTAAAGGCCCCTCGGAACGGACTCTATTCACTCAAAGGAAGAAGCTGCTGTCAAAATACATTACGGTATAGCTCGCAAACTGTACATGTTTAAAAAGTCGTAGTCTTACGCGGTCTGAACCAGAGCCGTGCATAGAGAAACTTTGGCCATACATTGGGAAATATAGCAGTAAAATGAGGAGACGCTACTGGCCGTTCCAGGGACTTTTTACAAATTCGAATGTGGCCGGTCAGAAGGCGAAAGTAATTCCCTGGTGGTGGTCGCGAGAAACGAAATTAATAAGTGCGTCGGAGGAACTCTATGATGCAGGGGATGTTTCAATCAAGGTCATCGAAAATCATGGTGGAAGAGCGCGACTAGCGGAAGGATCGACATAGTCCGTACGTCAGGCGCCGAGGGCCGGGAATCAGCCATCCAAGCGGTCCCAGTGTGTTCGAGCAAAACAGAGTTCGAGCTGCACATTGGTTTCTTACATCTTTCTGCATGATTATAATCGAAACATACCGTGCACCCTAGTTTCAACCATTAAGGGTTACTATATTTAGCTCATACGCGCTAATTTAAACCACATATCTATGATTAAAACTGTTTCTCGCTAACACCACTAGGGGATTCTTTTCGGCTTCTCGTTGGCAAAGAGAGCATGTCAAGCCCTCTTTCTGCGTCTGGTGCACGCCCTGGCTCCGGCGCGCTTATGCCATTGACCGAACTCTCTCTATACACGGCTTGGGTCTAAACTATATAAGTGCGGCTTCTACAATGATTTGTTCTTCTCCAGATCGTTCATTTTGAAAAGACTTGGCGTATATTGCGGATGACATATTGCGTTAATTTTCCTTTTTTGCATTGCAGACTTTTTGCGCGCTAATAAAGTTGGCATTTTCTAAGGCGTGCCGTGTATGATAATTCCTTTCGTGCCCACTAAGTATCAGGCGTAAAATGCCTAAATTTAATTTTCTCGGTTCAAAATATTTTATTTAAACAGCATTGAAACAATGGTCTTACTCTCATCTTATTTATTTATTTGAATATTTTCCGGCAATTTGTAAATGCGCAAGTGAATTTTTTCAATGCCTTTTTTTTTCCCAGTATTTTCCTCAACAAACCGCGAAAAGGGATGCTAAGGGAAATGAAGCCTTCTCAAAGGGAGATAATGTCATGAAACGGCAGGCTATACATCTGGCTGTGGTAGATGACGCCACGGAGTGTATTAGGTTTTCTTGCAATGGATTAAACGTAATAAACAACACGAAGATTTTCTGCTAGGAGGCTATAAAACATAAACAAAAGTCACGTACTTGTACTCCGGCTTCTTGATCATGTATAGCTGAATATTGGGTCACAAAACACTGGGCTTCCTTTGTAAATGCAGCTATATCAGTTGTAGTCCACCATTTTGACCTTTTTCCAGTGGCATCATACTCCCTGCCTGCGACAGAGCAAAACCTTAAATAGTTATCGTCACATTTTTTACACTCATATTTATAGGCGGCAATTCAAATTAAATTGTCAAACTGTACTGTGTTTGTAAAATATTAGTTAAGATAAAATATCTACGATAATTCAGCCTTATATAGAACTGACCATAACTGAATTTTGAATATTGAAGTCTCGTTTCCCTGCCAATTCTAAGCGGATTACTGACAATGAGTAGATACAAAAATAAATAAATGCAATTTTCTCGCGGCTCGCCTTGCGCTATTGCGAGTAACCCCCTTGTCGAGACCTGATACTTTATCTAGTCTTCTAGTAAAAATGTGTAGGGTTTAATCATATTTTTTATTTTATGGTACGCGGCTCCTATCACTCTTAACACGAATATATTTTTGCTTGACACAGGTACAAGAGATAAACTTTTTCCCTTTATGCAAAATACAAAAACCTCACATTACCTTGACTGTCAAACCCATGTGTGAGCTCGTGGCCACCGAAAAAGCCAGAACTTCCCAGGCTGGCAGCACTGCAGAAAGTAAAGTTTCAATTCGTCTAGCAATTTAAAAAAAAAAGAGAAATAGGCAGCCTAGTCTAACAAGATTAAAAAAAAAAAACAATACTAAACGACTAACTTATTGGAACTGATTAGTTAAGCGTGAAATCGACACTTTCTAGAAACAAGCAATATTTTTATCGAGCTGGTAGAAAGTGTCTTCTGAAATGCTTTTTCAATAGATGTATTATTCGAATTCATTTAAAACGTAATTCTTCTTCAGTGACAGCAAAGACAGAGAATACAAAATACAAAGTTTGTATATTGCTGCACTAGGGCTTGTTGCCTAATGAACATCAAGTGCTGGTTATAGGAAAATAATAGTTTTACGGTTTAGGTGCATAGTGTGCGAGAAGCAACTGGCGTGGCTCAGGGTTTTCGTTCTTTCTTCTTTTTTTTTTGACCTCCCTTCAAGCGATTTTTTTTATAGTAATCGCGCACTTCAAGACCCATGCTGTCATCATGGGTCTTTAGCTGCCGCAATGCATAAAAAACTTGAACATGGAAACTACAATCTTCAAGACGGCTTCCATTTTGGCTTAAAAACCTGATACGAATGCATACAAACTTATCGAAAGTTGTGCGTATTGCGTCTGAACAATTATTGCTACAACCTCAGATATTAAGTGCACGTGTGCCACATTAAATACACAAATAAACGACCTGACACGACGGAAGGCCCGTTGCACTCAAGTTTTGGGCAGTCCATCTCGCTTGCTAGAGCGAGTATTTTTAGATCGCGTTTAGTTGTTCGTCATGACGCTCCCCCCCCTTGCTCGCCAACGCTATGCCAGGAGCAGTCGCAGACATTGGTACAACAAGGGTGGGGTGAATTCCTGATATTGGTTCAGGGTGGGGGTTGGGGTAATAAATTAGGTGACGGGAGCGACCATAAGAGAAAGTCGCGGCGGACGGTGCCCAGGAGATCATGCCGGATGTCGCCGCCGTGTCACATGCTGCCGCCTAATTTAAAAGAACCTCAAAGCGGCGGCTAATATTTTTCTTTAAAGGGAGATCACAGGCTATTTAAATAATGCGTGAGGTGTGCCCGATGTCCATCGTCGAAGTCAACTAGCGATTTCCAGCGAACAAAGGTGCTCCCGCATTCTTCAGACAAATGCAAAAGAAGAAAACACGAGCGAAGAGGTTTTGGGGGTGGCGACAGCCTTTTTCACCCCTCTCCCTTTCTAAACATCACTGCGCTCTGCAAGAAAACATCAATAACCAAAAAGCTGAGAGGACTGCATACTTATTTTCGTTTTGTTTTTGACTTATTTCGGTCGCTTGTTGCCACACATCGACAGATGCTGACAGACACGTGTATCAGACTGCGGATCTTGCGTGATGAAAGGTTAGAACGCTGTTTCATAATCACCTGTTACGAGCGTCGCAGGCAATGTTAGAAGGGTATGTAATAGCGGACGGACGCAATCAATGGCGAGAGTGGAAGCGCCGCTTTCATGGCCGCATGTTAGGGCGTTCCAGTGGTGGTAGTAAGGTGTGTTCTGATAGCAGACGACGCCGTACACTGCCGCGCATGAAGGTAGGAGAAAGAGGGGGTGACACACCGGCTCAAGCCCGCCAGACTAGAAAATCCGAAGCGAAGCGGGAAGTAAAGGTCGCGGCCGATGGGAGCGCCCTCAATGGTGCCCAAGTCCATCCACAAGTCCAAGGGTGCCCAAGTCAGTCCAATAGCGTCGTTTGGTTTTCGTCATCGTTAAAGGCGGGTTCCCCCGAGCCGGAAGACTCCCCCGGCCTCACCCCTTTTGGGCACCATGTCGCTTACAGAAGCTTCCTAGCTACATTTTGCCGCGCGTCTCCCCGCACGACTAGCAGCCGGTGTCAGACGGTAGATGAGACGCACCAGATGTTGCGACAGGGAGACATTAGTCTTGCGAACGTGTCTAGCCTAGCAGCCAAGCCAATCCAGTAGTAATGGGCGAGGCCACCGTTCTGTGGGCGGGGCAAGGACATTTAAATATCTGAGGACCCGACATGGACGTCGTGCCTAGTGACGCCGGAAAAAGAACTCAATATAAGAGTATCTTGCGCACCGACCAGCTCCCCTCGAAGCTACCATAGTCTGCTAGCCATTCGGTCGGCTACTTTAGGCTTAGGGGCGATTCAAACACTTGCGTTGAGTCCTACCGTGTGCGACAGCAGCGACTTATTTATTTATTTATTTATTTATTTCAAAATACTGCGACCTCGATGAGGTCATCGCAGGAGTGGAGAGAAAACATACATATACATTCAAAAAGACAATCGATTAAAGATGTACACACCCTACAAACAAAACTTAGAAAACCTTGAAAAATGCAATATCAAAAGATTACAAAAACAATCACATACACTTCAAGTACAGATTCCAGGCACCATACCAGAACACCTACTGTATTTCTAACACAAACTTATCAAAATCGAGACAACGAATGGATCCATTTATGTTATTCCAGTTTTCTATCGTTCTAGGAAAAAAAGAATATTTAAAACAGTTAAGGTGGGTTCTGTATGGTACAAGATTTAATGGATGGAAGCTTCTAGTGCGTGATTCAGTAACAAAACTAACATATTTTTCTCGATTAAGTGTACAGTTATTATTCACTATTTTATGCAGGAGCTTGAGCCGTTCTACAGCGCGTCTAGAATCCAGAGGCGTAAGTCCTATGTCAGTCATGGCAGATGTAGGAGAAAAATTGCGGTCATATCTATTACAAATAAATCTAGCTGCCTTTGATTGTATTGCGTCAATCTGCTTTATATCACCTTTTAGATAGGGATCCCACACCACACAACCGTACTCTAAGATAGGTCTAATCAAGGTCTTGTACGCCGTTATTTTAACTTCCCTAGTTGAAGATTTTAAAGTTCTCTTGACGTATCCTAGCCTTTGCAGAGCACGGGAACAAATAGAACTGATGTGCTTATCCCATTTGAGACTAGGCGTGAAAAAAATACCCAAATACTTGTATTCGTGAACTTGACGCAGAATTATATTACGAGTACCATAGCTAAAAACAGACGGTTCCTTCTTATTAGTAAATGACATAACTACAGATTTCTCAAAATTAATTTCCATCTGCCACTTTTTACTCCAATTCAAAAACTGTTCAAGAGAGTCATTTAGTAAGGCATGGTCATCTACCGAGTTGATTTCGTTGTACAAAACGCAATCATCTGCATAGAGGCGAATTTTAACTTGAAGACCATTTGCAACGTCATTAATATAAAGTAAAAACAAAAGAGGACCTAAAACTGATCCCTGTGGGACACCGGAACTAACTGAGACATTACTAGAATGAACATCCCTGTATGAAACAAACTGTGATCTATTTTTTAGGTAATCTTCGATCCAATTAACTAATGACGTATTATTTAATATCGCTTGTAATTTCTGAAGAAGCTTATGATGTGGTACCTTATCAAAAGCCTTAGAATAATCTACAAAGATGGCATCAAGTTGTACTCTTTTATCTAAAGCTAAAGCTATGTCGTGAGTGAATTCAAGAAGTTGGGTTGAGGTGGAGTAACCATGACGAAAACCATGCTGTTGAGTGCAAAGAATAAAATTAGTCTCGAGGTACTCAGATATCTGTTTATAGACAATATGTTCCAAAAGTTTGCATGAAGACGATGTGAGCGAAATGGGTCTGTAGTTTGTGACCACCTGTTTGTTGCCTGACTTGAACAAGGGGATAATTGCGACGTTAGACTTTTTACGGGTTGATATGACAGCGGGATTTTAGGCCGCTTAGAATCGCCCCGTTGCCATAGCAACCCGTAAAAGGATTAGCGTCGCAAGACGTTAATCCCTTTACGGGTTGGATGGATAATCCGTAAAAGGATTAACGTCGCAAGTCGCACACGGTCGGACTCACGCAAATGTGTGAACCAGCCTTTAGGCTACGTCTGCTCCGCGCCTCCGGCCTGCTTCATCTACCCGCATTCTCGGCTAGCTTTCGATACGATCGGCGCCCCAAAAGAAGTTTCGACGAGCACGCGCATTCTCATCATGACGGAGGGAAAAAAAAAACACCTGTTGGAAGCAGGGCTTGCACGATCTTTCTCAACTTGGTGCCATTCTCAGGGTTCCTGCGCTCGACGTCTGATAACGCTCGTTTTCCGAAGCCGCGCGAGCTATGACAACTCTACTACACGGCGACTTCCTACTGGACGGGCAAGTGTTAAACTTCACACCTCAATGGACGCCGCCATGTAAATATGAGGCAAGCAACCACGATGAAGCAGAAATACGATGGCAACGCGGCGGTTTTCCTCCGACTTACATGGCGATGTACGTTGAATTACTTTCGTAATCAAAATATAAACTACTCGAGACTGCAGTAAAAGATGAGGGTTTAAAAGACATCGAAAAAGGATTGTCTCATTGGCCGAGAGACTGAGGTAACATTTCGTGGCCTACTTCCGTTTCACTTCGCTCTATATATGGAGAGTACGGGCACCGAGTGCTACCCAGTATAACCTCCTTGGGTCGGAACCTAGAGCGGGTGGTGAAGTCCGCCTAAATTGCGCCTAGCGTCGAAAATATAAAGTTGAGACGTTTGTTGGTCACCTTTCTTCTGTCCCTTCTAATTCATCTTCAAGTTCCAGTCTCAGTCTCAGGGTTTAAACATCATGACTCAAACGCACCAGCTTGGCTATACGTTGACCATTTTTCGTAGATATTTAGCAAGATAGTTTTTGTTTCGTGAAAAATTTAAACGAATTACATCCCTGATTCACATCGCCCATTAGAAATTTCTTTTTGCATTTCAGTATCCCTTAAATTTCTGAACCCGGCATCTAACCATGTTTATATCATAGATTAAAGAACTTCCAAACGTAGCATGCAAACAGTAGTTATTTTCCTTTTTTTTTACCACTGAGATGTTTTTTACAACTCGTTTTTTGTAACACATCCTTAACGCAACGACCGTTGAATGGCAATCTTCTTTACAAAAGAATCAATATGCGACCTGGAAACGTTTAGGTTATATATTTCTTTTTGGACAACAAAAATAAGAGGGGCTTAAGCAGCTTCTTTTGTCTAAAAGAATAAAGTGATTATTATAAAATCTCAAGACAGCTGACATCACTCTATTTGATTTGGCGTGTTTCTTTTCTCAATCATTGTTCATCACTTTTTCGGTAACATCAAATTTACAATGAACTCCAGCTAATTTTGTCGAGTTAGGTATTAGAGCTTAAACTAATAAAAAAAAAACACCACAAAGCAAATAGTAAACGTCATATTTAATAACGTGCATGTTCCAAGAAAACATGCTTACGCTACTAAAATATTTGCTAGTCTAGTCATGTAGTCGCACTGCTTCCATCCAAATTAATATAAATACAAGCCGTTTATAATTTAAAACATGTAACACATACGCCATTTTGTCGTATGTGTTACATTTTGGCTGCTCGCATCAAAATCTGTCTCTTTGGAACAAATTCGTTTGAAACGATGAGCTTGGCTATAGGGAATGCGCTCACTCTCAAGAAGCTACAACCGTCATTCCACCGTCCTTGAAACTTGGGCCCGACCGTCAAGCTTCTTCACCCGGATATGAACTGCTCTACGCTTCTCTCTCACGAAAGCTCTAACCGTCACCTTGCCGAAATTTGGACCCGACTGTAGCATTGTATAAACGTTTGCCCATATGGAACTCTTCCTACGCTTTTTTGGAAACTCAACCGTCATCCCGCCTTTTTTGAAACTTAGACTTGACCGTAGCATTGTTAAATACCACCCGCGTTCATCTGTAAACGTTCTCCCTGACGAAGGCCGGACTCCAGCCGAAACGTCGAAGAATAAATCATTTCGTCGTTTACCCTGAGACTGGGGGTTTTTTTCGAAGAGAAGAAGTAGCAGAAAAAACAGACAGGTCTCAAAAGAATAAATCGTCCGTCGTTGCTGTTTTCACCAAGGTTTTTTTCTTCCCAGTCATATATCTATATATATATATATATATATATATTATTTCAGTGTTCCTTAAGTTATTAGAGATTGAGGAAACGAAACAGCATATTGGCCGCAGTCAGGAGTCCTGGCACCGGCACATACTTAGACACGCTGCTGCGTGCCGTTGATATTTGTCTTGATCAGCACATCAAAGCTTTAATATAATCCTAAAACATTCAGGCAGCAAAGAAGGCACAATCCCGCGCAGTTACTGACGTATGCGGCTTTACACAAAGCAAGGGGACATTTGGAATCAGCACGACAATGCCCGCCCTAACACCAGTCTCAAAACCCAGGAGACAAACACTTGAACTGCACTGTCCCATCTCTCTGTAGTTCTGATTTCACCTCTCAGATTTGCATCTTTTTGTCCCTCTAAATAATTAACTTTGTGGAAGAAGGTTTCAAAATGACGAGAATGTGATTCGTGGGGCTCGGACATGACTATGTAAAAATAAAATAAGTTGGTACAGGGAAGGCACCCATGCCCTTAGTTTGTGCCAGCGCAAAACCGTGAAGCTGGGCGGAGGTTCTGTAAAGATAAAATATATAGCGGAAATGTGAAGAAATATTTCGTGTATTTCTTAACAATTTCTGTAAAACGTTCTCGCCCCCCCCCCCCTCCCTTCAACACCCCCCCCCCCCTTCTCCCTTCCAAAAAAAGAAAGGCATTACTTTCTGGGCATTACCCGTACAAGGTACCTAACATTTCGAAGAAATAAGAGACTAAAAATACGAAAGTTGACACCGAGGAAGGTCCATGGTGCTAACCAGGATTCGTGAAAATTCCTGGTATACCTTCCGAAAATTCCTGAGAGTTATGAGTGGTACGTCATAGTTCTAAGAAAATGTATTATAAGAATATTTAAAAGAGACAGAGGTAAGTCTACTTTTTCCGAGAGGCCTGTGTGGTCTGTCAGAATCTTTCAGTGGAAAGCAACGTGAACCATTCAAATATTTTTAACGCGTCTCGGGCCCATCAGAGTACATCGGTTGGAGAAGCCGTTTGGCCATTTTGTATTGGGCGGCCGTAAGAAAAGGTCGCTCAGAGTCGGCTTGCGGCCCCACGTGTGGGATCTATCTCTTAGAGCAGCTCAGTGCGCGGATAAGGGAGGAGGTTCCTCAGTGCCCTGTTTCTTGTGTCGATTGAGCCGTACGGCTTCGAAAGCTCGTCCAACGGGCAAAAAGAAACGCCGGGGACGCCGTTGCGACGGCACCAGGCACAGGACGATGACCGTGCTCAGGATTCTTTCAACGGCAGCGGAAGTTGGCTTCACGTTCGTGGTTTTTGTTACACATGTTACCGAAAGTGTGTGTGTCTGTTGCACCCTCTCAAGTGTAAGAGTTTAACTACCTTACATCTCAGGAATTTACTCAGCGGAATTGTGAGTACCTCGAAAGATATTTTTGGCGAAAAAGATCTCGCTTGCCGCAATTTGTCCTGATCGCCTCTTTCCAGAGCTGCTTGCGCCCGTGTTCGAGTGCAGGTTGGTTCTTACTGTCACCATACCGTAACACGAGAAGTGTTTGATGTAAGATTATGTTTTCCGACAGAATAGTCGAACTCAAATCAGAAGAATCTAAAAAAACGTCCAGAGAGCGAAAATAATTACGAGATCAAGCTTTCAAATCATGCCCTGCATAAAACGAACGGATGAACTAAAGAGATGTCTGCTTCAGCGCGTTTTAATCACAACAACAAATAACCCTACAGTTCAAAGTTGTCTTCACACTTGCAAATATCTTTTAGCTGATACAGGACGATTTGAAGGCAGAGCATTCTCGGTATACTTACACTGGGATTTTGTATGCGTAGAGGGGCTCCTGTAGCAGTCCAGCATGCAGTACTTGAAGTAAAAGAGAGAGGCAAATGAAACCTAAAAAATTATATCTAATTTTTGTAGCGGTAACAAATCGCGGCTAGTATTATTAGAAACAGCACTGATAATTTAGTCAATTTATTTAGATATTTTAATTTAACGAACACAGCTACAGTGAAATGAGGAGTCAAGACAGAAAACAGCCATTAAATCAACTGTTCGTAGGTATGTCTGAAAATACATCCGTAATTGCAAAAAGGAGGCGGGAATATGGTATAATTAATTGACTGTCGAGGTATAACCTCGATATAAAATGAATAACTCCTAACATTTTGTTGTGAAGTATATAAGTGTGGTTGTGACGGGCTGAGTGATAAGTTGGTGCAAGCATTAGTTACGATAAGTCGGATTGGTGACGCCGGTAAAGCTTGTGATAGAAGCAGGGACAACGAGCAAGCGGGAAAGTAGTACACGTAGCTAAGCTTTTTTCATGTTAGTTACAGTGACCGTAGGAGCATAACGTGTATTGTGAGGGCGCTTCCGGGAGACGAGGCCACCGCTGGCGTACGTACCGCACCAAAGTTAATTTGGGTCGTAACATGTTTTCCGCTTTGTGTTTGCGAAAAGTAGATCTTACACTGAAGTCTAAGAAGCTGGACGCTTTATGAATCTTTGAACATTGAAGTGATCAACAAAATAGTGTGCAATATTCTTGTTTTATAATTCTAGCCATGTTCAAGAACTGTGATATAACAGACGACTTGAGTAGACAACACCTTTCGAGCTGTCGAGGCCGAGCAAGAATGCGCACGACGGCTCATGTCATCGCGCCCGTCGCGTGTGCTGCAAGAGCGACGGTCGCTTTTCCCTGTGCTTGGAGAACCAAAATATGGGGCATTGCAACACTCTACATTGCAATTGTAGAGTCGCTCTGCATCAGCATTGCAAGCATCTCAAGCTACTCTAGTTTTAGGTAACCAAGCTCGCGGTTTGCATTGCCATTAACATATTCAACATGAGAGTTTCAGGAGATATTAGAGGCCTTACAGATGGCAAGGTACTTTTAAGCTAAAACAAACGCTAAAATTTTTGTACATGTAATGTATAGCACGTGCAGTGTAAAAATGGAGCACTCTCATAAGCTTATATTTAGCAGTATTTCATTATATCAGCCGAGAATCTCAGCACTGGGCAACGCAATAAAGGTATGTTTGAAGTTGGTAAGTACCAAACGGTCTAGTTAGATTCCGATACATAACGCTGTAATCAGCAAAGAAACGAAATGAAAAGGAGGTATTAGGTACTAGATTGTTCACATCGATTCGAAACACTAAAACAATTATTGAGCCTTACGGTACACCGGAGTCCAGAAAGACAAAAAAAAAATAATATTAGCATTGACAAAGTGTATACAATCAGAAAAAGGCAGACATTCGAGTGAGTTCAGGAGTGTCAACGTTTAAGGGACAAACAGTATAATTTAGTAGAATGTGTGATATTTTATCGGATACCTTGAGGTTTTCAATTGTGTCTGTCAGGCAGTTAGTATGGAAACCAAAATCGAGGAAACAATGAAGTTTTCGAGCGAAAGAGAGAAGTCGAGTCACACATGATATTGCCTTTCGGAGCCTATGTTGAGGCGATGTAGAATTGACTGGGATCTAAGAAGCTTATTAAAACAGTGTAGAAGATACCTTTAAGGGCTTTACATGCAAGTATAATGATAGTTTCATAAATGGGACGGTAATTGAATGCTTCTTAGTAGCTTCCTGATTTAGGCAACGCAACAACCTTACCGATGTTTCAGTTGATAATATAGTGCCAGATTCTAGTACAAACTACGAACGAATACCTATTTGGTGTGATTTAGAAAAGTAGACTTGATAACGTCAACTAGTTATTGTTAATATTGGATAAACATGTTTGTGATTGTTTATTTCTACTAAAAGCCTATACTTTATGAGGGATATGATCATTCGAAAAAAATATGCTTAAAATATATCCTATTTTTATAATAATTATGTAATAAGAACCTATAGTAGCAAGCATTTAAAAAAAAATCTAAAATTACTGTACTTAGCCATAATTCACAATCAGTTTTCACTTACTGAAAGAATTTGTTGAGGGCTTGTACTCTCCATTCACATCAGCTGAATCTCTTGACCATCTGAAATGTAATTTAAAATGTTACAGTACACTTTCCACTCTGATAATAAATGTGGGTATCCGCACCATTACGTGTGGCTTTAAACCCAGAAGTATTCTACAGATGATCGGAATGGTATGGGTGTCTTTCGAGGAGAGCACACAAATTGGTTTCTTAACATGTTGCCTCACGATATACTACAGAGGTGTCATAGGACGGCTCATTCAATATTTTGAATTTTGAATATATTAACTCGCTTGAGCCAAATTAAAAAAAAATGCTCTCCCTAAAAACGAGCGTTCAGCTGAAAAAAAAAAAAAAAAAAACGCGGGTCGATGCGGCATTTTAGTGATCGAAAGACAGGTAAAACAAGATTGAATTAATTAAATTTATTCCATTACATTTTACCAAAACGAACCTCAAATGGCATATCCAAATCATTAATTTATACTATAGGCCTCCTCTTTTATGAGGGATATCATCATTCGACCAAACTATGCTGAAAATATAACTTATTTTTATAATTAATATGTAATAGGAACCTATATTAACAAGCATTTCAAATAAAAAGCAATGACTGTGCTTAGCCATAATTAAGAACCAGTTTTAACCTACTGAAAGAATACGAGCTAGGTTTCTACGTAAACACCTCAATACAAAATGACACCGTAACTTGTTAAAACAGCGATTACCCGGTTCCTTTAAAGAGCCAAATACAATCGGGACCACTTTTTATTGCAGGGTACGGTACATCACCACCAGCTCTGCCACAGCCATACCTTCCGAAGCTACTAACCCAAAAAATTAAAGTATATTAATATTTTCGTCTAAAATGAAACCTGAAAATATTGCATCCCGTTTATATTTTTTGAAGAAATTCAACATTATTCTTTATCCTGTTGATAGAGAATAATGTTAAAATAAAGAAGCTGAAGTTTGTTTAATTTAAAATCTCATTTAACGGAAAGCAGCAAGTCCTATGATAAACGCACACATTGAGAATAATTTGAGGAACGATAAATATTTAGCATTAAGCTTAACGTTAAGACCGTGTTGGACACAACGTTTATTAAAAAAAAAACTTATTTGATATAGGGCAACCGCATCACAGTTAGCTAGCGGGTACGCATATGGAAGTTTTGTTTATTCCCGTGTGATTTCTTTAAACCTCAAAATAATTTTACACAAAAAAGCTACCCTGTTGAGAACAACAATATGAACGCGCTCTGCGACTTTTTTATTGGACGGTTTGCGCATACAAAAATATTAAATATCGGCCAATTAATCTGCGTGAATTAGACAATTTGGCACATCGCAAAAATTACTTGCTCAAAATGATTGAGGACAATACTGCTTTGGTTCGATATATGGAGCGTGTTCCAGCCTCTTTAAGTCTTGGGAGAAGTTAGTTGAAACCCCCTGAAAGTATGGCGGCTGGATCTAAAAAGTATTTCTTGGTTTTTGTATAAATAACTCAAGGGCACTGGGTGGGTATCCTTGTGCCACACAGAGAAGTTTCCATTAAGAAGATGCACGTAATACAAGTGCCCAGTAAAGCTCAATGAATACAGTGCTTTTTGCGTATTGTACTTGTAGTGTGGTAACTTACAAGTGCTGATATTGTTAGGAAAACATTTGATGGGTCTGAAAAAAAATTATGTATAAAAACCAACGTTTTTTTTGAAAAATAAAACAAAGAAGTGTAGGGGCCGGGGGGGGGGGGGGAAGGGGGGGACGCATCTTTGATAATCTGTTTGTAGTCTTTTATTCTTATTTTCTGCTTGCTCTAAATACATAAATGTCTGCAAAAAAAGCAAAAAAAAAAGCACACGCTTTGTATTGGAATAAGCGTGATTGCACAAACGAGCTGGCAAGCGATTATATATATATACATATAAAATAAAGAGAAGGGAACACAAAGGAGTGGACAAACACAACACAGTTCCAAATAAAAACTGCTTTTGCTCTTTGTCCTCTAGTGCTTTGTTGTTTTTGCTGTGTTGTTAGGTACAAAAAAGGACAGCTTCTTGCGTTTTCGTAAGCATTGTGTTCACCCCTCATTCTGTTTTGTTAGATTCGGTAACATATATAGGGTAAACGTTTTTTCGAAACGACAATATATCAAAGGAAAAATAGTGGAGCAATCACGGATAAAAAAAGAGATAGATACTTACTCTTTATTCTTGTCTACTGATTTAGTTAGTTTTTCCAGATTAACCTGCACATTATTCTCCAGTACAGACTTCACCATTGTAACATAAAGCGATTTCTTGTCATCCAACTGAGGAACCTATTATGTCAATGAAACAAATTCGTATTGATTTATGAACTGTTTACCAATCAGCCCAAGTAGTTCCGTGACGTACCGACAGGATAATATTGATTCAAGCTATTCGGCATCTAGGCTTCCCTCTTATAGAAAATTAGCAGGTCAGACCCCTACCATGTTTCATACCGAACGTCGGAACGTAACAGCTCTAAAAAAAAGTAATTTTTTTGTCTCGCCGCTTTTTTTTCTTAAATATACCAGATATCGATCAATGCTATATGCACAGTCTCTTGCTGTTTTTACTTTTAAAGTTTTATTTCTTTGTTTAAGAATCTCGATACCCTAGATAGTTTCTTATCGTAAAAGCACTATGTGAAAAAAAAAAGTGGAAGGGACCTTTATCTCAAAACTCTAAACGAATAAAATGCCGTATTTAGGGAGCGTTGGTTTCACTTTGTTTAGAAGATGTTAAACAGTCATTTCGGGGTATGAAGTCACGCGGCGTCAATATCCCTGCTAAATCAAGCGGTAAAAGAAAATTGGTGAATTGACGTCACGCCGGCGGCGTGTCGTCAATTTGTACAATGAAGTTAACGGGAAACTTTAATTTCTGCATAGGTTACGGGACGTCAAGTTGCTTAACTGCAATTTGTCTGCTAAATTTAACCGAAAACTTCAAGGCATTTTATTCACGTCATGTGGATTTCTCCGCCAGATTTAGAAGACAGGCTGACCGAGAATAGGTCAGCGGAGATGGAGTTAATGTTTAGGTAACGTGATGTCAGTTCGCGTTACGTCAATTTTTCTGATAAATTTAGTGGGAAATGCACAGACAGGCGTACGAACAGATAAATTTTTGGATTGAAGGACTCCGATAAAAAAACACTTTATACTTAATTATAATTTTACTTTCGCAATTTCATGAATGGTATTGCTGCTCGACATGTCTCCCGGTAATTGCTTTGAGGGAAGTTTGAGATAAAACAAATATCTACCAAACAGTGAAAGAGGATATTGCCAAACAAAAGTTTAGAATCAAATTAAACTCCACCTTACTTATAAAAGCTGAACACTAATAATAAGGAACATGAATTGCCCGTATCAAGGCGCCACTTTTTTATGCGGTCGAGTCGATACAGGGGCTCTTAGCACGCACTGTTAGGTTGACGCGAGTGCAAGATTCACAATATGGTATTTCGATATAAGATGCTTAACAGAGTTATTGACTCTCTTTTTCTACTTATTAGAATCTCATTTCCTGTTCTATGACTACCAAATAGATCTACGTCTTTGTTCAGCCTTTTGGCTTAAAATTTGCCCCTTCATTGACACGCATGCAGGTTATGCACGACGCGCTTAATAAGCCTGACGTGCACTTCTTCACCGATTTTGAAATGCTCCCGGAAATATTTCTGCTCAGGTTTCGTCGATAGTGATATATATATATTTTTTGTCATGTGCCAAGTTTTTGTGCACTATTCATAAGGCCTACCTGCTGTTTGGGGCAAAAACCAAAACACATATAAAAAACACACGTGACTGATAGATCGATTGAACACGCTCGCTCTTTTTTTAAGGTGTGCGTGGACGTACGCGGGGTCACCAGTGCCAAAGCAGCGGAATCCAAGGTGAGCAGTGACACCCATAAACGGTGTTGGTCGTCTGTAATTTCACCAATTTTTCAGGCTTGGAATTTAGCGTTGAAATTGCCAAACCAAATACTAGTGCTGGGAACCTTGCAGGATGTCTTGTAGTGCACTCAAGTTTCATGGCTTACTCAGTCGGCAATATCTCAACATTATGTTCTTTTTGCGACTCAGAGTGTAGCTGTCACGTATTTTTTGTAATTGATATTGAACTCACATGATATTCTTCCTGGTCTATGTGTTAAGGCAAAATTAGACTAAACTGAGGATCTCAAGCGAAAAGTATGATGCTATAGCGTGACAAAAACATTATCTTTCATGCCAAAGCAACATAAAGCACACACAGCTCATAGCAATCAAAGTATAAGTGTACAGAATATAGAATACGTGCTGAGACATAATGAAGTATAGCTAATCGCACAACGGCATCCAGAAGTATTTAACAAAACAGTAAAAAGCTATCGCTTAGACTAGTCATCAAAGTCAATCAAGAGACAGCCTCGAATGGTGTCATCAGTATGACGCCTAAGCACTAATACGGCGGTTGCATAAGAATTCATGGAAAGCTAACTGCCGTACACAAATTAATCCTTTTACAACCCTCTCAAAATAAATTTGATTGATGGCATCGTTGTGTGGCCAAACTATGATCAAATAATTAAAATCGTCAATAGTGGGATTTTCGGAAAACGTGCAATTGCCGAGCTGATTCCACTGTTATCATTGTGACTGTAAAAATAAGCGATATTGAGACTCGACCAATACGTCTATTACGATGTGCTGTATTGTCGTCACTGGTTCCTCCTTATCCTCCTCTATCTACAATCGTTCACTGTCCAACAAATTTAACATAACCTTTACGATAGGTGAGTTACGTGATTCCCGAACTAAGGTAAGATCTAGGTATGTACACACAATGTCATCCTAGACACATGGACAATGTCAGTGTTTTGGGAGTAGCCAACGGGAAGGGGTGTGCAGTTACACTTTGTTGTTTACGTCAGTCGTTTTTCGAGCGACTCGATTTGGCCCGGTATAGTGCGATAACATTTTGGCAGAGCGGCCAACACAAGGAAAGGTGAACCGGATCGAGACGAGGTCCCCATTCGGTACTTCACATGGCGATGTGTGTCGTTGTACCGACTCATCTGTAGCTGCTGAGATGTCCGTGTACGGTGTTGCGCGAAGATGCGACATTTTTCAGCTGGGCGAGGAAGACTAGTTATGTGGTCAAAAGCTGCAATACATCTACCTCCGGTTGTTCTACACCGAAACGCCATTTAGGAGCCGACTTTCTTATCAAACTTCCACCATTTCCGCTACTCCGTTCCGAAACGAACACACTACAATGTCATCGACATACCGCTTTACCGCATAGCTCCCCGACGGCATTCCTTTCAGACCATTAACCACTGCGCAGTCCAATGAATTTAAATAGATATCTGCCAGTATCGGTGCTACAAACGAGCCTATACTCACCCCTTCTTTTAGAGCGCAGCTCTTAGATGCCCGTTTCCGGCTTGAGCGGCGTCAGCGTAACCACGCGGTGCATTATAGGAAATGTCCCATAATGCACCGCGCGAGCCACTCCCCTCCAAGGGCACGTGAGCGGTCACGTGGCCCCCCCCCCCCTCCGAAGGAGATTGAAGAATGAGGGGAGGAGGAGGAGGATGAGGAGGTGAGGAGGAGGGAGAAGGGGTATACCCTCCCCTCGGTACTCTTCCATCCTCCTCCTCAAGAGCTGCGCTCTAATTCGACGTTACAGTGAGTTGTAAAGGGCTGTCACTTTTTTGAACATACATTTTGTCCCCATATCACACAATCGTAGACCGCAGATAAAAATCCAAAATTGTCAAGAAACGGTCTACAGAGATGCCCGATCCTGATTGAAACTTCACTAAGTTGAACTCCCAGTGCCTCCTTCACTAGTCTATTACTCTCCAACGAATAATATAAAGCCGAGCACTACTTGCCATGGTGAACGTCCAAGATGCCAATCAATTCGTTTGTTTTTTTCAGTGATAGTGCATTTTTGAGGGGAACGTACTTTAACTCCTGTTGACAGAACTTGGACACCACTTTTTGCCACGTTCCATTCTCATTAACGACCGTTCAAAACGGAAGCTCCGGCTTGTGCTCCTTAAGGGAGAACTTTAAGCTTAATGTTGAGCACCCTGAACCCGAGCTATCGCCATACCCTCGAAATCCTCCTTCTTCAGGACCCCACAACTAATTTTCCTTAACTTCCCAACGTCTCCTCTCAATTCACAGAAGAGGGAACCCAACGCTTCTTTTGCCTTGTTCTCAAAAACTGCCCGGGGAAATACAGCAAACTTCCCACTCTTGTCCGTCTGCACTAACTCCGACGACTTACTTTTCAATTCTTTTTTAACCACTTTTATCTGCCCGAAGTTCCTTTTTTCTCTCGGGTAATCAATGCCCATAAATCGTTCCAATCGTTCAACCACCTGATCCATTTAGGCTGCTTTTTCTTCATGACCGACCATTCTCGCTACCGACTGAATTGACGAAAAAACATCAAGCCTAGATGGCTTCACATTTACACATAACTTAGGCCCCTCCCCAACATTGTTTCCATTTTCCGGGACACTGATGCTTCATGAGGATTGAGCAGATTACCAAACGATACGTTCCGACAATCATTTACATGCGTTCTATCAATGAGTCATCGACTGTCCTGCCGATTGTGAGTTTCATGCAACACATTACCAAGTCCGATGCCGTGGGTGCTCTGCCTCTTGATGCTGTCCAAAACGTGTCTCCGCCTTGCACCCCAAATCGGTTTGGAGTGGGCCCTCCTAAAGTTGCTTCAGTGCTGAAAGTCCTTGTGGCTTCGAAGATCCGTCCCGAGGAGCAGAGTCCACAGTCTGCCACTTGCGTTGCGGATCTCCAGAATCCTTTGAGACGTACTGTCCCCGTACGTTCTATATATCTTCTTTTCGGTGATACAGGGAATTGTCGGTGACGATAGATGCCTGAAGAGCTTCGGGTCGACGAATTTCTTCCGTAACCAAATGCCAAAAAACGCTACTTCGGCTTCGAGTTCCGTTAGCCGGTGTCCTAGCTTGTCGAGGACAGCGAAAGCTTGAAACAGCAGAGTGGTTGACAACGATGAGAACGAAGATGTATAAGGAAACGAACTAAGCCTGCTTCGGGTATGATCAGAGAAATAACAGTGAGAGCGCAGGCGAGCTGGTGTAACATTACCATTTCTATAAAGTACTCGAGTCTGGGGCGAGAAAACTACGAAGCATCAAAACGTGGAAGAGAAAGGCAAAATGATAGGATGACAACGTGTCTAACACAGCTATAAGGTTTATTTAGTTCACTCTCCTATATACCTCCAATCCCAAG